CTCAGAAAACTCGAACGCAGCTTAAGGTACTTAATGAAGTAGAGAAGAATTAAACACACGAGTTGTTGCTCAGATGAAACGCTCACATGTGGGCCTGCTATTGACTGTTACGTCGAGGGGGTTTAGCGTGATGTCCGCGAGTGAAGGGAAGAAGCGCAGTAGCAGCAAATGCCATTCAATATGCTCAATTGCATTTGCACAAATAAAACCAGCATTTTAGCATACTTGTCCTTCCTTTTTTACACAATTTTGTTTGGTCACTTCTTTTGTAAATTGTACCAACTACTTGATATCGACAAAGGCGTCCAGCAGGTAGACATGCAACAACCTCGTAGTTAAAGTCAGGACGCATAGTTACGATCCTTTGGGAGATCATGGAAGAAGTTGTGCGCTGTCACTAGCTGTAGCATCCAACATCGTTCTACACGCTAGAGAACTACCAGAGAAGAGTGCAAGTCACTTTTATCAGTCCCCATGCTCCCTTTCGCATAACGTCAGGTTAAAAGGTCAATAGGTCCTTCAAATGTCGTACTTGTGATGGGCTATAAAGAGACGAAAAACTGTTAACAATTTATAATAAACTGTTGTCTTTTTATATTACTCTTAAAAGAAAACTTTTAAATGTTTAAATTATGATGCGGATAAAACAATAGGAAAACTGGGCACTATATGTCGCATGTATTGTGGTGATTTGCCCTCCACCAGTCTGTATGTGATAATTTAGTGCAACAGCATAGTGATATGCGTGAGGCAGAATAATAGTTGACCAAGACGCATCACTTTCTCGATTTGACAGTGCCTACTGTGCATTACGTTAGGGAATCTAGGAACAGGGAACATTTTTGCTTAAAGGCCCGATTTCTCATTTGTCCCTAAGCGATGATCAGTGTGTTCGCTTCCATTGTGCTCGCATTTGACCGGGTCATCATTGAGGTGCCTCTCAAGCTAATTATAGCGAGAAATGTGCTAACCTTCTATCGTTTGGAGGGAAGGTGTCAAGCACAAGGATAGAAGCTGGATGATGATATGCTAATCCATTCTGCACTACGATACCAAAATCTGAAATTAAGTAAGGAAGTGATTTTAGCTTTAAGACTTCCTTTAATCGGACTAAAATGAGCAGGAGTATTTACAAGCTGTCCTTGCCGCCCCACCTTTATTTAAAGCTGGTAAATCTTGTGCAAGAAAAGATGTGGGTGATACACAAAAGATTATTGATGCCGATGATGACAAATCTCTCTATGGTAGGCAGAACATTTGTAAAAAGTTGTGGGTTAGCATGCATTGGTTTTTTTGACTGTTATTTTTAGGCTGTGAATTTCTTCCGTATGTTGTGCTTAAATTTTGAATCACTTTCCA